GAATCTGAAAAATCCAAACCCGAACTTTTCGATTGGGTTTGAAAACTTTTCGATTGGTTGGTTTTTTAGATAAGTGAAAAGTTTGGTTCGATTTGCAGAGAGGATTTGTTTTTACCACTTTTTTCAAAACTTTAAGTTTTTTAGATTTTTCTGACATCACTCTAGATATCAAATGACCTTGTTGCCCCTCCCCTAATTTTTAGATTTTTCTTTAAAACAATTTTTTTTTCTTTCTTATAATTTGAAAACTTTATTCTTCCCTCTTCCCCACCCAACCCAAAAAAAATCTCTATCTCTTCTTCTTTCTTTACCCAATTTTCATTTTATCTCTCTCACTCACTCCCCTATTTTTGTTTTCTATTGTTCATGAAAACATTCACAAAAAATAGTTTATGGGTTTTCTTCCAATTTCACGAAATTGTGGATACTGTCGAATCTTCCATTGTGAGCGAAAGAAATCTGAACCAAAACTAATAACATCCAAGACATAGATCGAGATCTACTGGAGAGCGAGAGAAAGTGAGATATGGGTAAGAACAAGAAAGAGAACAAGATCTGAGAGATTTGAGTGGGAGTGGGAGTGCGATCTGACCAAGAACGCTGACCTTGAACGAGATCTGAGAGACGTGAGCGAGCGTGAGATCTGAGCGAGAACGATGAGCGAGAGCAAGACATGAGCGAGATCGAGATTGAGATCTGATAATTTTTATGGTTGAAAAAAGATGGGAAGACAAAATAATAATAATTAAAATTAATTCCCCTCCCTCCCCACCTCGCTCCCTCTTCTCTCCCTCTCCCTCTTCTCTTCCCTCTCTCCCCTTTCCTCGTCTCTTCTATTCCCTTCTATTAGTTAAAAAAAAAATGGAAAGAAAAATATCTATAGCATCGTAGAAGAGAGAAAAAAAAAAGAAGAAAAAAAAGGAGAGAAATAGGGAATTAATGGAAAATTAGAGAAATAAAAAAATCTAGAAAATGAGGGGGAGAAAAAAATCCTAAAAAAAGAGGGAGGGAACAAGAGAGAGAAATTAAAAAAGAAAATGAATGGAGAGGAAATAGGTAATAAAAGTAAATTGGTATCTAACTAATGTTAGCAAAGTTTAGAAAATTTAAGTTTAGAAGAAAGTGGGTAAAAACAAATCCCTCTTTCTTCTCACGCCGCCCACCGTTCCTTCCTTTTCTCTCTCATTCTCCCCCACAGGCCAGCCGCCAAGCCTTCTCTCGTCTGCGCCACTCGCCACCGCAGCCAGCCGCTCGTCTCCGTCGCCGGCGAATCCAATCGCTCCTCTCCGCCGCCGCATCCAGCTGCAGTTCGTATTTGCCGCTGCCTAGGGTTTCTCCGCCTCTCGATTTTGGTGAGAGCCTATAATGACGGTTTGATAATTACAGTCTCTGTTTCATTCTCACTTCATTTTAGCCTTCTATCTTGCAGATATGCGGCTCTATTACGGGGCCAAAGAGATCCTAAAGATTCAAAAATTTCGGAGGATTGTGTCCTACACTGGATTCTATCTCTTCGTTTCCGTTTTGAGCTACGCTTATACAAGCAATACGTGAGTTAGAGACCATGGCTCATTCATTTCTCTCCATTATTTTTGTTCTCTTATTGTTCTTCTGGGTGTACTGCAGAACTAGAGCTGGGTATTCTCGAGGGGATCAATTTTATGCTTCTTACCCTGCTGGTACGGAGCTCTTGACAGACACTGCGAAGGTCTGTACATTCTTTGATTTTGGGTTCCAATTTTTGTTATTTCTAAACTCTTGTTCTAATTCTTTTTTGTTTCACATTGTTTGCTGTAGCTATACAAAGCTGCTCTTGGGAATTGTTTTGAGTCAGAAGAATGGGGTCCGATTGAGTTCTGCATCATGGCAAAACATTTTGAGCGCCAAGGGAAATCTCCATATGCATATCATGCTGTAAGTTTGCCTTGTCTTTGGGCTTCCTTTTAAGTGTGGGACATTAGTTGATTCCTGCTCAGTGTTGAATTGTGCTGTACTCCACTGGTTTCTGGTCAGACGTTGCGTTCATTTTAGTAATATTAGTATGAGAATGGGAAAAAGATCATTCGTGTAAATACATGAAAATGTAATATTTGCTGCGGCGTCAAGAGTTGAAGAATGTTGTTAAGATGATAGAATACTCGTTTCTGAAGACCTTGATGACAATACAATGAGGAGATCATGATAATAAAGCTCTATTGGCAATCACCATGGGTTGCCTTAGTGGTCAATAGAACCCATAAAAAAAAAGGTAAATGGGACTTAAAATAGGGAATAAGTTCAATACCATAATAGCAATCGATGTAGGATTTGATATCCTTAGAGTTCCCTTTGCAACTAAATAGTAGTTAATATAGTAGTTAATAGGGGCATGTGAGATTAGTCGAGGTGTGCATAAGTTGGCCTAGACACTTATGGAAATCAAAAACACAAAAATAGCTCTATTGTCAAGTTTGGAATAAGCTATAGTGACATTATAGTAGTATGAATTCTCGATCAGAAAACCATACAGATCATAAGATGTTGTGTTACCTTGGGTCTGAATGAATCGTACTTTGATTCTGGTGTCTTCTAACTCTTTATTTCCGCCTCAGTTATGATATCGGTTTCTTTTCTTGGTTATCTGAAATTTTTTAACTTCTTTATCTCCATGTTACTTTCTGCTACATAATTTGTTAATAAAATAATTACAGTGAACTAGCCCCACACCAGATATCCTGACAGAATGAAACAATATTTAGATGGTACCCTTTTCTAATCCATATGACTTAAGGATTTCTGTTCTTTAGCATTTGCAGTATTTTCTTCAAGTTAAAATTTCACTTTTGTGAATAGATAAAACCTAGATTTGAAATGTTTCATACCAAATAACAAGGAGTTAGCTAACCAAGCAAGGATAGAACAATTGTTATACGAACAATTAAAAGAAAGAAAGTTATTATAATAAGATGAACAAAAATCTTCATTTGATGATAAATGGAGCTTTCTGTGGTACATTTTTATGAAATCCTCTTACGATTCCCCCAATACAATTTTAGGATTGTATTATTTGAACTTTGAAGTGTAGAAACTAAAGCATTTTTTGTAAGGCTGGATAGAATGGAAGTTCATATTCAGGGTATTACCACTAAGTTGTCCATTTTGTTTGAATTCTGGCAGCAATACATGGCACATCTTCTGTCTCATGGACAACTTGATGGAAGTGGGTAGCACAACACCATCCAACAAACGAAGAGCTTTGAGACTTTTTACCAGTATGAGCATTAGATTACAGACTACCCACTTCAATACTTAAATTCCCTTTTTTGTAATTTAAGTATTGGTTACGACATGCCGACTTGAGGATAGCTGACTGGTCCGAAGCATTAGGAGCCCTCCTTATGGGTCGATGGTTCGAATTTCACCCATTCGTTTGAATTGTAACACTCAGTGTCGATGGCTATAGTTATTGCATTTTACTTGAGAGGATGTGTAATTTGGAATAAGAAGAACTGATCTTCACCCACTTCAATTATGCCTATTTAGGCAATGATTTTAGGATGAAGTGCTCTTCCGGGATCTATGCTGTTTGGCAGATTTTGCTCTTGTTTTGTTTCTTATTGTTGCATTTGCCTTGTCTCCCTTCTTTCTTTTAGTTCTTTGAGAGGGAGGTTTCTTAGGACTGTTCGATTTTGTCTATTGTTTTTGTTTATTATTTTTAATAAAGAAAAATAGAATTTTAGTTATGTTTCCAAAAAATAGGAAACAATTGCGAAATGTTTAGCTTCATTAACAAAATTTGGAAACGAGAAACAAAAAAACGACTTTTATTTTTTCACCTGTAAGTTGTAACTTTTCACATTTCAAGCTTTGATTATTAAAGTAAGGAAAAAAGAAGAAAAAATGTGTTTTGTAGCCATCTCTCTGCTTTAAGAGACGTTAATATTATGCGAACCGTTGTCGACCTCTCGACTCCTAGTTCTCGCTATGTCATTATGTGTATTTCTYATGTCACTACGTGTATTTCTAAAGAAAAAATTTTGCATTTTTGTTTTTAAAATCTCTATATAATGTTAATAACATTTCTCAAAATACATACAAGAAATAGAAACTAAATGTATAATTCTTTAAAAATATACACATACTACCAAAAATCACTACAATTTTTCTTATATAATCTCTATATAAGTATAACAGGTTCTTTTTTCTTTTTATCAAATGAGGTGAAGATTTGAACGTCCAAGATATCGAACTATGTTCATGTTAACCTAAAATTGTATTCAAGACATGAGAAGCAAGAATATAAAAATCCTACCAAATATATACATAATAGATTCTATTTTGGAATTTGGCTTCAATCTCATTTTCCTATAACCTATAACACTGGTTCGTAGTTGCTATTTGCGACCAATGATTTTTTATTGCAAGAAAATAAAACAAACCGAGTATTCTGGTTATTTATCTGTTATGTCTAGAAAATTACAACGAAATTACAAGTTTGATCTCTAAGATTTATTTTCATAACTATTTTATTTTTACTTTTCTAAATCCAAGTCTAGTATCAAAAACTAACAAAAAGTAGGTTTTAAAAATTTGTTTTTTTTCTCTTGGAAGAATTAAAAACTTACTTTTACTTTTTAAATTTAGCTAAGAATTCAAATGTGTACTGAAGAAACGTTGAAAACATATTAAAGAAATTACAAGGAAACAAACTTAATTCTAAAAATAGAAAACTAAAACAAAGCAATTATCAAACAAGGCCTAAATTTTTAGGATTGTAGCTAATATTTCGACGTTATGTCTATCAGACTAGGATTCAATAGCCTATTAATTACATACAATTCTGAAAGTTCAAGAACTAAACTTTATATTATAAATAAAAATATGAGAATTCAAAGTTATAATCTATACGAATCCTCTAATGTCTAACTACTTGAACTATGATCAAGTCAGAACGCTACTTAATACGATTTCCCTCGAAGATCTGAAAAACTCCCTTTAGTATTGAACATTAATGGGGTGCCACATGAGAGCACCAACACCAAGCACATTCCAAGATTTTACAGTGAAATGGCAGTTGTAGAGACATACCTTCACTAGATCTAAAATCATGCTAACAAGAACATTCCAACATTCTTACCTTCACCGTTACATCAATTGTGACAATTGCTTTAAGAATCTGAAGAAAGCCAGCAATATTGTGGTCTTTTCTTTCTTCCTGCAAGGAAAAGCAAACATGTTATATAGTTTAAGATTGTTCTTATTTTCTTTTGGCACTTAAGTCATAAAGTAGAGCTAAACTTAAAACTACTTTCCTTGCAATTAAGATGTGGCTTACAAGGTGCTTTATTTTTGAAAAATCTATCAAACTGGGAAAGATGGAAATATAAAAATAAGGAGTGACCTTCAATGAGTTCTCTTCCTTGTTTTCTTCCCCTCCAATCAGCAAAATTATTTTTGCACAATTCCTTTCATTGAGGATGCCAAATGGGATTTGTGAGAAATTCAGCAACATACAAAGAGGTTATTGTATCTTGAGAAAGGAGTTTCAGTTTGTTCAGTACAGTGAGGTCACATCTTAGGTTGGTCACATCTTAGGTTTTCTTAAGGTTAGGATTAAAAATAAAAAGATTCAGCCCAAACATAATTTGAACTAATAACCACTTCGAATTATCTAGATCTAAAAAACCTACCAGGCTCTCAAACACGCTCCTCAACCCATACCCTTATTTTCTGATTAATAATTTTTGTCTAATGGCTGTTTTTTTTATCATAGAAAGAGCGCCCCACTGAACCTCGAATTCTTTCTGTAGAGTCAGTGTACTTACCGTGCACGCTTTTCCTTTTAATCTACCCATTTTGAACAGTTAATACTTGCACTCTTCAACAGATTATAATTACTGCAGTCTACTTGAACAGAGCCATTCTCGGCAGCCAAGGAATAAGCATGTTCAAGATCGTCTAGCCCTCGTGATCCTGAAGAGCTCTGACCACAATCATTTGAAGCAGAATTCCGCTTTTCTGTTTTGTAGTTTTCATCATCATCTTCATCTCTTGGTGTACATATTCGCTCCCTATGATGGTCAAAGATAAGCAACATAAGCAGGATAAGCAGGAGGATGATGTGATGTTAAACCAACAAAACAAAAGATGAAGTTTTCAAGGGAAGCATGCTTTGTTTTCAAACATGTATTACCTTGGCAAGGAAGCATGCTTCCTTTGTAGTGGACTGCTGCTTCTCTCACCTTTACCAGAGTGTTCCTCTAGATGATCAAATTGATGCTTGAATCGATCGATTCCACTAAATGAAATATTTTTTAAGTTAAGAAGAGAAATTAATATTATCTCTTGCAAATAAACCATTAATAAATAAATAAGACTTTGTTACCTGGGATACATGAAGTGACTCTCAGAACCTTGGAGGTACTCCTGTAGCATCTGAGGGTGATACTCTAAAATCTGTTCCATTTTAAAGGATAATCTAAGTGAACTGAGTAGAAATTCGTGAAACCAAAAAGTAAAAAACACCTGCCTAGCAATTATATAAAGGAATGAGGGATATAAACGAACGAGGGTCATACTTCTCTATAAATAAGCTCTCTGACATCATTTTTGGTCAACTTTCTCCTTTCAAAATCAAACTCAAGTTTTGAAATGGGTTGCATTGATGGTTCATTCTCCAAATTTGCCAGTCCATGGAAATATGGATCAGCCAATGCCTACACAAACGGGAATTTAGAGAAGAATAAGTTCCAAAAAAGAGACGATAATTAGAAAGGGGCTAAAATTTAGTATCAACGCGTCCTACCTCCTCTGCGGACGGACGATATTCTGGATCAAATGCAAGCAGACGCTCAAGTAAACCAAGAGCTAGTGGATCTACATTAGGGAACTTTCTTGACAGAGGAATTGGAGCCTTTTTTCTCATACTACTCAAATATCTTTTAGCTTTTTCATTACGAATCTATAAGTAATAACTATGTCAGTGTAAAATCAGGACCAAAATCCAAGATATGAAAAAGTATAAAGACGAAATCTGAAATAGAAACCTTGGCAATGGATTCAGCAGGAGGAGTACCAAGTAAGTCAGTTATTAGATCCAGCTCATGGACAACACTTTTCCCAGGAAATAAAGGCTTGCCTGCCAACATTTCAGCAAATATACATCCTATGCTCCAAATATCAATAGCTGGTGTATACTACAAATTACAGTCAGTGAAAATATGTCATGGAAAACTCGGGAGACCTCGGTTACAACACGAAGTCCACTTTATAAGGCCATATTCAATGATTTTGGTCTAAATACACTTCATTACTTGCTGATTTTGAGAGACCGGAACAACAAAAGAATCAGGGACACAACTAGTCATATTTTACAAGATAAGATTACAGTGGATATGATATGGAAATTAATTTTCGCTACTTAAAATATAATAGGGTTTTAAGAATGGTTCAGGGTATTACACATTTTACTCCTTTGTTTATATGTTCTTTATCATGACATAAATCAGGTTTGGGGTTATCTGTTGAGCAGTAAAAACACGTGGTTGGACTATGCAACTTTTGAAATGTAAATGAACTTTTTTTAACTTAATGAGGTAAACAAATTTGACATCCTTCGGAGCTTGAAAACAAACACGGAAATGTGAATATCACATCATGAAGCATGCATGGACTTGTAATTTGCAAGGCCTCTGGCAATGATTAAAAATATAAATGAGGATATTGAGATTGGGACATAAGGAAAGGGATTGCTACTTCATAACAACGCTTTTCTAGTTCCTCAACTCAGCTGGACCATCGGTAGTGAAGTTCATATTTCTATCACTCCAATCATAAGTGGTATTGATAAGGGTAGAAGAAAACCATCAAAATATCTACTCAGTTTTCTAAAATAAAATTTGGAGAAACCAAAAGAGAGGGGTTTTCTTCATAAAAGGAACAGAGGTGTGTATGTGTAGTGTATGCGTGTATATCTATTTCTGTAAGCACTCGCGCACGGAGAGAAAGAGAGAGAAAGCAGTCCGTCTGCACAGCCATGAACAGATAAAAATAGGCAAAGCCACTCTGTTTGATAAAGTCAGACAAATGGGCTATTTGATATAGTCCATCTGACTACTCATCTGTTTATCATCAAGGAACAGGGATGCGTGTCTGTCTATCTGTCCATCTATACATGCATGCATAAATATGTGTGAGTGTAGGGAGAGAGAGTGGGAGAACAAGCCAGTAGTGTGCTCTAATAGAAACAGATAGAAGAGGCAAAGCCAGCTTTATTAAACATTAATAATTGCTCACACAGTCACAGATTGAACTTTTTTAAGGCACGTGATTGAACTCAGGGGACAGGATTATGGAAGAAAATCGTCAGCAGTAAAACTAAAGAAGAGAAGGTGGCAGGAAAAAAAACATAATAGAAAGCAAACAGATAGATAATATAAGAGAAACATGGTTGTAAATCAAAATGTAGAGCAAGATATCCCTTAGTTACCTTAGAGAAAAAAGAACCACAGAGTTCAGGAGCACGATACCATCGAGTAGCCACATAATCCTTTGAAGAAGTGATTAAAGTCAGTCAGTTAAATCAAATTCGATCTAATCAAATTACAAAAAGTTTGCAACTCCTAGAATGAATTGAAACCATTCTTTATCTTGCAACAAAAAGAAACACATACAGTCCAAAAAATAGCAGATGGGGCATCAGTAAAAGATGCACGAGCAAGGCCAAAGTCACAGATCTTGAGTTTGCAGTCTGCATTGGCAAGTATATTCTTGGGCTTCAAATCTCTATGGAACACATGTGCTGAAAAATCCCAAGGTAAATCAGAGCCTGTGAGTGAGTGTGTAGAAAGGTATTTAACCAAAGCCAGACAAAAAATGGAGGCCTAACCTGAATGTATATACTTCAAGGCTCTAAGAAGCTGATACAAGAAAAATTGATGATGTTCAGGGGTGAGATCATCATTAGCCTTGAGTACATGATGAAGGTCAGACTCCATCAGCTCAAAAACAATATATAAATCTTTGAACTCCCTCCTGGATGGAGGGAGCATTATATGTTTTATATCAACAATATCAGGATGATGGAGAAACCGAAGGAGCTTAATTTCTCTTAGAATTCGTGTGGCGTCCGAAACATGCTCGAACACATTATTTATCTTCTTGATGGCAACTTTCTCACCCGAGTGAGTGTCTATGGCAGATGCAACAACGCCATAGCTCCCTCTACCTATTACTTCTTCAATTTCATATTGAGTAGCTTCACCATACTCCGTGAAGAATTCCTTGTCAAGCATGTTCTGATTTAGATAATAAAAGTTAGAATTAGTCGCGCCCAACATATAAATAAATGTACCCAATAACATCAAAACAACAAAAAAATAAACAGAACCGAAACCACTCTTGCTTGAACTACAGATGTAAAACAATTACAGCTATCAGACCGTCAGAGATTTTCAGCAAGAAAGAATGCCCTTCCGATCAAATTCTCCCGGCGGTCTTCATACAAGCCTCCCCCAAAATCGTCAAGATTGACCAATCGTATGTATATATAACAAAACTTTGAATGGTCCAAGTCAAATTTCCTTTATAAACGATCGACATTATTGAACTGTTCTTTTAATTTTTCTTTCATTTTCATCCCAACTTGGAAGAGAGTCAAACTCAAAACACATGGAATCGGAAATATTCAACAGAGGAAAGTGATACGATCGAACGCGATCATCCATTTCGGAGAGGTATCGGTTATGGAAAACGACAAATCAAACCCTTTATTGAAAAAGAAACAGAGCCTCGAAATGCGGGCCTTATCATATGATATTCCGATCGTGAAAAAACGAATAAACTAACCTTGTGAAGGTCCACAGAGGCGTGTGTATGCCGATTATTCCTGTGGAGAACCTCGATAGGGTTCTTCAAAGGTGAAAGAGATGGCAATCGAAATGGAGGGGCGAATCGAGGTCATAACTTGGTGCGACGAGTGAAGAAGAAGAAGAAGAAGAAGAAGAAGAGAGATGATGGAAGGAATGAAGAAAAGCTTGGACGATCAATGGCTGCATCGGAGTTTGAAGCTGCTGGTAAAAATCAGTCTTCTCTCGCTCTGTGCGTCTTTTTCAAATCAGTTGGAAGGTGTTGAACGATTTTTTTTTTCTTCTTGACTTCTTGGAATTCAACTGTAAGTTTCTTCTATCTTTTAGGAATCTGGCAGATAACGAACGCTAATGCGACACGTCAATATTACGTGTTACGTTTATTTTAGGTATTTTAATTTTAATTTTCATTTTTTATTCTTAACGAAAGTGAGTTTTAACTCAACTAATGAACACATGTTTTACAAATAGCAAAAAAAACTCGTAGGTATCCGATTCTATTGGGTTTTATCTCCGGTTTGATTGGAGACGAGGTCAAATCGAGGATCCTAACCCTACTTCGTTTTTGTGTTTAATATTTTATTAATTTTTTATACTTTTTATATATAATCCTATTAATATATATTAATTTTAATAAATACTTTTAATTGTAGTTAGTTGAATTTTAAAATATTCCATAAAAGAAAAGATTTATATTTACTAAATATTTAAAATATTAATAAATATTTCTTTAAAAAATTAAAAATTAAAAATATATATATATGTCTTGGGGGTAGGGATGGGATGAACCTCCATTGCCATCCCTGCATATATCTAACTAAGAAGTTGTAAGTTCAAATCCCACTGAAATATGTTGTACTAAAGAAAAAAATTCATAGTTTAATTTAACTGTTTGAATGCATCACTTCAGAGTTATAATTTTGGTCGATTCGACATTCGACTAAATCTTTAATAATCAAAAAAAATTTCTTTTACATGATTACTATCCTTTTGTTTTTATGTATTATCTTACGTATTGGGATGGATTGTTGCTCTTCTTGATCTTCTTAGAGGGGATAAACCTCTCTAATTTCACTTGGAATATCAAACAGAGAAAATAATTATTCAAAAAACATATTAAGCATACATAATTAAATAATTAAAGTAAATTTGATGGGTAGATCTGGCTAAGGAAATTGAAAACAAAATTTTAAATTAAAAACATAGATTACCTCCTCTTGGGCCCAGATCCCAATTTTGATGATCAACATTCCAGCAAAATTTGCAAAAATTCCGCTACTTAGCGATTGAAGAAAAGCCTGACATTTGAAGACTATTAAAATATTAAAATCAAACATGGTTGTGATGGTGCATGAATTTTATGGGGAAAATTGGGATTTATAACCCACCAATAATTAAAATTGGGTAAATGAACTCATTTTTAAAAATCTAATTTGTGACTCCATCCCCTTATCTTAAATTTTATTCTGAGGAAAAGACGAATTTACCTCATGGTTAATAAATATGAATTTATGTTACATTAAAGGTTGTAATGTTCTGTTTCTTGTTTATGTTTCTTCATTTTTAATAAAGAAAAATAGAGTTATATAGCCCTAACACCCATGAATTCAAGAAAGATCAAATAATATTTATATTATGTATGTAACAAATTGGAAATGGAAACAAGAAACAAGAAACTTGTTTTGATTGTTTCCAAAATTTTTATACAATTTTGAGAATATTTCCAAAAATGATAAACAAGAAACATATTTGGTTGCAAAATGCTTAAGTTTCTTAATAAAATTTAGAAATAAGAACGAGAAACAAGAACGTTACTAAACGGACCCTAAATTTCCACCTAACCATTCTACCAAACTTTAAACTCATATTTTACATATGTTTTGAATTTGAAACACATGATCCAAAATCCTCACAGATCATGTTTTTTAAATCATCTCAAAGAAACATTGTTGTCCACATGTTTGATCATTGTCCCCACCCTATCCAAAATTATTGTCCCTACATTTTCACTCTTGAAAAGTAAGGTACGTTACACTTACAACCTTTTGTATTTTAAAATTACTGAAATGATTTGAAATATTTCCTTATTCACAAATTCACTACTCGATTGGCTTCTTGAAAAGAAAAAATAAAGAAATTCAGATCGTTGTCCCAGACCTATACCTGGTTCGGGATTGAAGACTTCAAGCATCAATCCCGGTACATTTTGGTTCGAGACATGAATCGGGACACATCCCAGACTAATCTCGAATAAAGACTAGTCTGAGATGGTCCGGGATGACAGAGTTTTTTTTTCCATTTTTTATTACTATTATCTTTTTCAATGATAGATTTTCTTATCTCACTTAGTTTTTATCTATCTACAGGATGCCTCGTGGTTTTATAACATTCGGTGGAGAATGAAATGATAGTGGAAAAGATTATGTCGGTGGTCGTACGAGAAGATTGACAATGGATAGTACAACAACATACGGAGAATTTCTAGGTCATGTGTATAGATTGAGTAATATAAACCCCTATAGTTTGATATTATAATTAGACGTGTATATCATTTTAAAACTAAAGTTTGTGTAATGGAGATAACTGATGACTGTCGCAACGTCATCGCGACGCGGAGCAGCCGACGTCATCCCCTGACCGTTCTCTTTCGAGATTAGAGTTTGGAGTCGCCACCAATCATCTACAATGTGTGATTGGTCACTTATTTTTTAAAAAAAAAACTTGGTCTACGAAAACAGAATTTTGGTTCGAGAGTCAGTTGAGCGTAGGGAAGTTGTTAGCACCCTACGACACCCGTTCGAAAACGGTACCATATTTTGTCGAAAATTATCCTATTATATTTGGTCAAAAAAAATTTTGTGTTTGATTTTAAATGTCCCAAATTTATTATAAAATATGAACCAACAAGCATGAGTGTGAAAGACAATTAGAAAAACAAATTATCACCTCGAGAATATTGGAAAGTCCCAATTTCCGTCATTGGAGCTTCCGAAATAATTATTTAAAAAAATGATTAAAAAAGTGAAATAAAATTTAATTGAGACCCGCAAGGATTCAAACTTGAGCCATAAATATTAATACCCAAGTGTCTTGCCAATGTGCCCACACCTGCAACTTAAAATTCTTTTTTATAATTCAAACTTTTTATTTTTGAATTTCGTTTAAAAAAAATTAAACGAAAATCCTTTATTTAAAAAGAAGAAAAAAAACTTTTGTTTTAAAAAGAAGGAAAAAAAACTTTTGTTTAAAATGATTATTTGGTTAAAACAATGATAGAAAAAATGAAATAAAGTAAAAAAAAGGGAAAAAAAAATTATTTCGAGTTACACATGAATACTTGAACTTGTAACATGGGTCTACATACCCAATGCTTTTGCCACTATGACATACACTAAGATATGTTTTTAAAGTTCTTTTTAAATAACAAAGTTTATTATCAAAATTTGTATTAAAAAAAAAAAGAAAAAAAATATTAACGAAAATTAAAAAAAAAACTTTTTATTTTAGGGATTTGAAATTCATTTAAAAAAAAAGAATCTCCTATTTAAAATCAAATTTGTTTTAAAAGAAATCTTATTCACTTTTTCCAAAACTTAAATAACAAACCTTTACTTACTGTTTAAAAATATTATTTAAAACGCAAAACAAAATCTTAAAAAAAAATGAAAGAAAAAAACAAATCTTACTATTTTAAATAAAAATTTAAATTTTTAAAATCTTTTATTTTCTTTCCTTAAAAAAAAACTTTGTTCTTTTTAATAAAAAAAAACTTTATTAAAAAAACTCTCTTTCCAAAACAACGTTTGTTTAAAGCTAAAAATTCCATTTTTTTCTATTTCCGAACTCACTTCTCACCTAGGCAGTTTTAAACAGAGGTTCCTTGAATGTTGCGGGTCGATGAGGTGTATATCCGAACGGGTTCGCCGAAATTAATTTGCGCCACTGCCGGAGTTGATCGTGGTTGAAGGTTGCCGATGTAGGTGAAGAAGAAGAGAAGATAATGGTAAAAAAAA